TACTTAATTTGCTTTAGGGAACATGTGCTCTCCAGAGAGAGAGAGAGAGAGAGAGAAAGTAAGAAAGCAAGCCGCCAGGTCTGGGACTTGAACCATGGTCAGTCATGTGGGAGTTCAGCACCTTAACCACCATGCCACCTGCTGGTCTCAAGTTTTAACGTCACATTTCCCAAGAGTCAGATAATTTCTTTATAAACTAAATGATGGAGAATGAGGAATGTTTGGGAGAGAATAGGGCTGATAGTTTCATCACTCGAGTGAACGAATACTGGGTGAGGTGGTGTGCATGTATAACCCCAGCTGGGAAGCTAGGGGAGGATAGTGATACGGCAGGAGCCTGTCTAATAAAAAGAAATGCAATGACTTTCCACCCAAATTCTCTATGTGGGTAATAAATATATGTGTATATTGATGAAGAAATATATGTGTGTGTGTGTGTGTGTGTGTGTGTGTATATATATACACATATATATGTATAAATATATACATGCATGCATGCATATGAGTACATTTATATTTACATTGTATATTTGTTATGAAAAACTCTTTGTAATTTTAATTTGTATTAAAATTGTATATAAGGAATAGTGTATAAGGAAATTATATGCAAAGAATGATATGTAAAACATATATACATACATATATACATACAAAACTGATTGGCATATATATATATATATATGTATGTATATATGCCAATCAGTTTTTGCTTTCAAATAAATTCTGTATCTATAGCTTTGACACAAGTTAAATTCAATCCATTCAACAAATGGTTTCGATCAGTTGCTAATGCCTGTTACAGTGCTCAGCACTTTTAGGGGTGACATCTCATCTAATCACCACAGTGGCCCTAGTTTACAGAGAAGGAGGTGGAAGTTTGAAAGATCATATAATGGACCTAAGCATGGGGTTTTACTATCTCCAGACCCAGCATGTGAACTCCAATCCTAAGCTATTGCCAAAGCGCTACACTTGAAGAGAGGAGAAACCCTGGAAATGGGGACATTTTGTATAGACCTAATAAAGTAATTCATTTAAAAATAGCTCCTGTTTCCCTTTGGGCAAATTATCTAAACAACCAGGAAAAAAAAAAAAAAACTAAAACAAAAACAAAAAAACAAACTTGTTCCAAACTGGAACAACCAACCTACTTGTTGTGGAAACAAGCATCCTAATGTTTTTATACTGTCTGCACTAACTGGCAATCCAAGGACATACACTAGAAACACTCCCTTTTCTATTACATAGGAAAGTTACTACGAGCAAAGGATTTGCTACACTTTTGTACGCAGCAAACTGTTGTGGTAGAAGAAATCACCACTTATTTTATACCTGAGTATTTATTATTCTCAAGATGCAAACACCAGGCTCCAGAGAGAAGTGATAGCAGAGAGGGCTCCAGCTCTGTGGCCTGATGGTTGGGGCGGCAGAATCCCACACGGTCAACTGCTTGATTCGAGTCCTAGACGCAGTGGCTTGAGAAACACACAGGGCACGTGTGCCTGAACGCCTTCGATCCAGAAAGGACGGAAAGATGCAGGAGAGTTAGTGGTATAACCATGCCCCGTGAGGGGGGTTTTCTCTCTCTCCCTCTCTCTCTGGTGAGTGCAAAACAAACAAACAATAACAACAAATACACACACACATACATATCTGTATACAAAATCGTATTTTAAAATGTGAGGGAATTTTTTTCCTCTTTTTTTTTTTTTGTTGGAGAGGTTTTTGCTATAGGGCGCATGTGCTCACCAGAAAGACAGAGAGAGAAAGCGAGAAATCACCCCCAAAGGGAGATGGCCATGCCGCAATCCCTTCTCCTCCATTCTCCTCTCGGGATCTTGGGCACGCATGCATACGCGCCTGGCATGAGTTTAAGCCACTGGGTCCTGGACTCGATCTGTGGTTGGCTGTATGGGAGTTCAGCGACATAGCCATTACGCTAACTGCTGGTCCCAAATGTGAAGGCATTTTAAATGAAAGATTCATGGGACATGGTTCTGATTTCTTTCAACCTGAAAAGGAAGAAAGGGCCATATCTGAGCAACATTACAAATTGAGATGGCCACGAAGGCTGGATAAGGGGTGTATAGTGGGGAAAAAAGAGAGAAAAGAAAAAAGAGTTCATGTACGGGTTGAATTCTATTATCAGCTAGTTGTGTGACCCAGAGAAAGGTTTTTTAAAACACTGTTTCCTTACTTTTGCAAATTGAGAACTGATTAACTGTGGTACTCCTTACAATATTTAGAACGCAATAGTATGTCTGAAGCAATCTATGGCGAAGTGGAAATCCTATTTTTTTCAATGACTTCTTGTCATTGCAGCCAGAGAAAAGGTCCTCTGATATCATAAACATTTGGAGGAGGCTTGTACTTAGCTTAAAATAGTTTCTCTTTGTAACTGGATGTATCTGGGAACATGAATTTTACATCGCTTTCTTTTCAAGTAAGTGTTAACAGTTGACATTGACGATAGAATAAGTGATCCTTGAAGAGAAGACCACTGTATCTCCAGACCTTAGTCTTCAATAAACATTTGTTGAATTGAAAAAAAAAAAAATCAATCAGGGGGCCAGCAGGTGGTGTGGTGGTTAAGGGCATTGGATTCCCACATGGCCAACTACAGTTCGAGTCCTGGATCTGCCAGCTTGCTTTCTCACTTTCAATCTCTCTCTCTCTCACTCTGTCCCTCTCTGGTCAAACTAAAATAAATAAATAAATAAATAAATAGACAAATAAATAAAGTTAAATAAAAAACAATTCTTTAAAAATAATCGATCAGGCAATTTGGCTTACTTAGAAATGTTTTCATGACTTTCCAAATGCATATTGTTATAATATTTTTAGAGAGGCAGAATTTCAGTAATTCTGTGATTTTGTCTTTTTGAATATATGAAAGTATTACTGAAATTCTTAACTTTTTAAAGAAAATAAGCTGGTTGAAAACAAAGTTGGGGCTAAAAACATAAGTCTTGGGGTGGACAGTGGTGTAGCAGCTCACACCCAGTGCCTGGAGGCAGAACCCTGGGAAGGTTCCTGTCTAGAGACCTCCCTGATCCCTGGCATGATCATGATCTAGGCTGGCTGAGGCTGGGGGGGGAATCATGGTATCAAAACCCTTCTGGGCATGCTGCATCTCTACCTCTTTGTCTCTCTGACTCATGTGATAAATTAATAAAGTTTTTTTTAAAAGATATGTCTCTAGTGCTGGCCTTTAAGAGTTTTGCTATTTAATCCTGTCATTTTTAAATAGTACATACTACCCTTCCCTGCCAAAAATATTTCTAAGCTCTGAGGACCAATACTGGTAACTGAGGTAATCTTAGGGGCCCATGAGTATTTTTACAGTAATGGCTGTATGTTTATTAATAACAGATATTTAAGAACTTTCTATAGAGCATATCATAGTGAGCCAGTATCTATTCCCACTTCTCCTTCTTTTTTTTCAGTATTTTATTTATGTATTTATGTATTTATATTAATTTGACCAGAGAGGAACAGAGTGAGAGAGAGAGAGAGAGAGAGAGACAGAGGGAAAGTGAGAAAACAAGCTGTCAGGTCCAGGACTTGAACCGCAGTAGGCCATATAGGAGTGCAGTGCCCTTAACCACCACTCCCCCCTGCCGGTCCCTATCCCCACTTCTTCTAACGGCTCCCAGACTTTGTTTTGGGGATTTGCTGCTCTCATGGGAGTCAGTTTTGGTGGATCTTGCTCTTCCCATTGCTGGAGAAGTTGTGAGCTCTGCTCCTGAAATCCCAGTGAAGGTTATAAAATTCTAAGTACAGTCAGCAGTGACAAGACGATTTCTGTGACCTCTGTCTCTGGGACGGTCCCAGCTCATCTTCAGAATGTCTGCTTCCTTTACTGATCTTCGATAGAAGGAGTCACCCCCAATCCTTCCAGTATTCTCTTTTTAATTGTTAAAGTTTACATAGACAGAGTCATTTTCTAATGATTACATTTAAATAATAATGTTTCACCTTGGGTTGTCATGGATATTATTGCTTTACAAAAATGAGCATTTTTAACAAAATATACGTAATTTTAAAGAAAAAGTGTAATTGGACAGATGATGGGCACATATAACAAAAATCGTGGATTGGCAAATGGTTAATGAGCAGGAAACACCACTAAATATTGCCATTAATGTTAAGTTTCTTGGATATATTTAGACATTAAAATTGGAGGATCTTAAAAGCTATTAATAAGGGTATCAAAATTGTATTGTTGAACTGTTTTATTGATACAAAAAATATGGATTTGGGAAGATAATATGATAATTAACATATTCATGGTATTAAAGATCAAAACAAATACACTTTGAAAAGAGTATCATAGTATTATTTCCCTGATCTAGATCAGGCTTTTTCATTTAAAAACATGTATTGCCTCTGTCAGAGAATCTCATTTTTCTTTTCTCAAGTAGGGTATTTTATTTATTTTGACATTATTTTTCCCAATTAGAAAAACACTGAAAGTAGGACTTCTCCATCAAGGAAAGCAAGAGCCAGTGAGGCAGAAAAGTATGTGTGTGTGTGTGTGTGTGTGTGTGTGTGTGTGTGTGAACAGAAGACATGCATCTAGGTGTTAGGACTTAGCGTTTTCAGCCCTGCTTCCTCTGAACATTTCTTATAAACGCCACAAGTTCCTTTGTCTGTGTTCCCACTCCAAGGAGCAAGTTATGACTCCTTTATTATTCTCACCTTGAGAATCTCCCATTTCTGGCTTGGAATCCAAACTTCTGGAGATGAAAGACCTCTAGCCCACAAAATGTACTTTTTAAATTTGATGCATAAGTTTTGAATTTGGGGATGATGATTAGGTTCAGTAAAGATGCTGACGCTGGAAAATGACCCCAGCAAGGATGTTTTTCTAAGTAATTCCACTCAGGGAAATAATGATAAGGCAGGTCACTTCTGATTTCTCCCATTTCTAGGGAAGGGAAGCTTCAGGTAAAGAGCTCGCTTGGAAAGGAATGAACACTGAGCACTGAGTATGTTTCCAATATGACCTTTATTGAGCAAGTACTGCTGTGACATTTAACATCGATCGACATAAGCTTGCAAACTGTGCATGTCAGCGAGGTTCTCCCATGAACAAAAGTCCATTTTAAATGCACCAGTGAGGTAAACGTAATTATTCATATATAGCTTTCTTAAGGCTAAGAGAGTTCTGTGTTTCATTGATTATTTTTGGCTCAGTTGGTACTTTGTATAATACATCTCGACATCCCCCCTTGAGTGCTCCCTTTCCAACAGCTTAGGAAATTGACAAAATTCCCCCAGGTACATACACTATCATGCATTTGAATCCCCCAGAGACTGAGGAGGGAGCACCCTGAGCTTGCATGCAGTCCCCCTCCTATTGCACAAAGTAAAATACAATGTCTGGAACCCTCATGGGAGAACCCATTCTGTTTTGAAGCTGTCAATCACATGCATTTTGAAATTGTCATATGGCTTAACCTCTTGCAGTGGACTCACATCTTAGTCACTCTGGGTGACTTCCTTTACTATGGCATGTGAAGTGACTTTTTCTACCTTTTTAGTAGACACTAGTTTCTCCTCAAAGGTCTCTTCATGCTCTTCGACCTTTTGAGTGACGGTTACAGATTTAGTGATGTATTTGGTAGCACCATCTCCTCCCTCACTGGTGATCTTTTCTACCTTTTTGGTCACCACCACTTTCTCGTCACTTTGGTCACCCCCCTTCTTTTCATCTGCTGGGCTCAAGTCTAACCCATTGGTGATGACGCCTTTCTCCTCTTCTCTCACACTGCCTTTCCCCTTAGCCTCCTGCTCTTCCTCCTCCTTCCCTTCCACCTCCCCATTGACAGCTATGTCTTCCTTCCTGGACTCCTTGGAGCCTTGATCACTCCCCTCTCCTTCACTCCCTGCCTCCTCTTCCGTCTTCTCCTTCTCTTTCTCCTGCTGCTGGGGCTTCTCCTCTTCTTTGACGTCTTTCTCCAAGCTCACCTTTACTGTTTTGGTGATGGTGACCACCTCCTCCACAGCTTCCTCCTTCACTGGGGATTCAGCTTTCTTCTTAGCAGGCACATCTTTTGGCTTTTCCTCCTTTTTCTCTACCTTCTCTTCCTTGGGAGATTCCTTGGGTGTTACTTTCTCTTCTTCCTCTTTCTTCTCAGCTTTACCCACTCCAGCATCTGCCTTTGGCTTTATCTCTTCCACTGGTGATTTTGGCACGGGGGACTTGGCCTTTTCTGGTTTTTCTACCTTGGCTTCTGCTGCCACCTCTTCCTTGGTAGCCACTTCTTCGCCCTTTTCCTCCACTTTCTTTTCCTCCTTGGTCTCAGCCTCCTCTCCTTCACCTTCTGCCTCTGTCTCTCCCTCTTCTTCCTGCTCACCTTCCTCTTTTTCACTAGAGCCTTCCTTCTCAGACCCTCCTTCTTCAGCCTGGTCTGATTTAGCACCCTCATCTTCCTCCTCTTCTTCCTCTTGGCCTTCTTCTTCCTCCTTTTCCCCTTCTTCCTCTCCTTTAATTTCAGGTGCAGTAGCCTTCACTGGAGACTTTTTGGCAGCCACAACTTCTTCTTCCGCTTCTTGTTCCTCTTCCTTTCCTTCTGCCTCTTCTTCCTTTTCCTCTTCCTTCATGGAAACTGCCAGTTCCTCTGCAATGGCTGTCAAGGCATCTTCCATTTCTGACTTTTCATCCTCTACTTTGGTTTCCTCTATGATTTCTTCAACGAATTTGTGTTGAACCTTTAGCTTGGGTGCCTCCACCTTGGTTTTCTGAATCTTACTGGATATTGTGATGGAAGGCTGTCGGTGTGTATACAGTGGCCCAGTGATACTTCCTGAAAATGTGCTGAATCTGGTCTCCTCACCCTCCAGGAGTTTTCTAAGGAGATAGTCAGATAAGACAAAACAATTAAAATTTCATTGGGCCTTGTGAGCTTCATTACATTACTGGTAACACAGTAGCCATCTTGGAAAAGTAGAGTCAAGTAAGTAAAAGATTTCATCAAGCCAGTGTAGTACCTGCTATCATTTCAACAGCATATCTTATCCAGTGACAGAGACAGAATCTCCAGGACTGCATGATGTAGTATCAAACCATAACCAATAGTCCACTCACCGCACCCAACCCTTATGTCATTCCTGGAGCAGCGATCCATTTGCTGCAACATTAATATGCTATGAAAGCTCCCTAGTGTGCCCCCCCTTTTCTGAAGCAACCCACCCCCCCCCAAAAAAAGGAAAAACCAAACCAAACCAAACCATAGTACATAATGACCTTCTTAAGCATTTGGACTTTCACGATCTATGCTGATTTCTTTTTTCTTTCTTTTTCTTTTTTTCCCTTAGCAAATATCATGTTCAATTTTTTTTCCCCAAAACTATCAAGCCTATTTCAGAATGTCAGGAGATATCAGATGACAGTAAGTTGCTCATATGGGTATATCGAGATCTCAACCGATCAGTAATTTTCATCAAGTGCCTATTTAATAGAACTATTCAGATTCCTGGAAAAGACAGATAACTGTGAGTGTATTTTATTTTTGTTATAATGATTATCTAATAGGAAGTAGAAAAGTGTTTACCTAAGGATTTTTGTCCTTTGAACTTATTCAATAGCAAGGTCACATTAGTTAGTAGACCTATAATTTATCTACTCATTGTTTATCTATCATGTGATCATACATATATAGGCCTGGCTATTACATGTACCTATATATCTAGCTATATGTAGACAAATGTATGATATCTATCTAGATATATAACCTGTACTATAAGTCTCTAAAATATAAGACATTCAAATACATATAAATATATCTATATTGTAACATAGCAATCTATATCTGCTCTCAGCCAGATGATGGCAATAGTAAGCTATTACAGGGAAACAGAGAAATAGGATGTCCTGGTGTTTGTCCTTGACAGTCTATATTTGGAAAGCTAAAACTACCAGATAAAATATTTAAAACTGAAACTCTGTGTGCTTTGAGCATTCAAAAACAAAACCCTTATTTTTCCTATAAAATAAAAAGTATAAATATGAGCTTTGAAATTAATCAGCAGCCCCTTCTGCCTCTGTGTAACATGTAACCCAAAACACTTTATCTGAACTAGGGTTCCCTCTCTCAGAGCTATATAAAAAGTAGCAAACCCATATTTGCAATTCGTTAAAAAAATATTTTCTTTAAATTAAGCAAGAAAGTCAGGGGATGGTTTAAGACTCCAGCAACCTGCCTGCTTCAACTTAAGTGGCGAAGGTTCTGCCAGACTAGCCTCTGCAGTGCGGGTGGAAATCTGGCCACGCCTGCAGGAAGCACCGTACCTGTACGCAGCGATCTCGATATCCAGAGCCATCTTGACGTTGAGGAGATCCTGGTATTCTCGCAAATGACGAGCCATTTCCCACTTTGTGCCCCGAAGCTCATTTTCCAACTGCTGGATAGTGTCCTGAAACAGATGGCAGGCAATCTCCATAGTCTCATCCTTCCAAATAGCAAGTTCCTTCACCAAATCACTTGGTATCTCCCTCCCCTCCCGCGATGCGAGACCCTGCAGTTCTGCAACCTCGCGGATCTCTCCCAGCCTCCTGTCTCTCCCAGCCTTTACATACAACGAATTGTCAAACGAACATAATCAATAAAACATGTCTTGAGACCACTGAGACCAGAGGACCTAGAGTGCGTCTCAGCAGGTGAGTCTTTGCGGTTGACGTGATCCTTCCTCTCTGAGCCGGTGGTCTAAAGCCAATTTTGAGAGGTCTGCCAATCACCCCCAGAAAAGTACAGAATACAAGAGTTTCTGCACCATCTGTCCTAAAGCTGCTGCCTTATCAACGACCCGAATGCATATCTCTTACTTGAAACGTGCAAGCGTGCAAAACTAGACCTATTGAGGAAAAGAAGCACGTTCTGGGAAAACGTCAGGACTCAGGCAGCTGCGAAAGGTGGGGGAGGAGTGTGGAAGGGATCCAGAGGGTCGAGAACGCCTTGCGGTAACTAACTTGGGTCTGCGGCGCGCGCGCGCGCACTGATGAGCGGCCACCAGAGAGCGCGGCGGAGAGGGCGCCTGGGCACGCGCCCGAGTGTCGGGGACGAGCGGCGCTGGCGCTGGCGCAGGCGCCGCGCAGCCGCCGTTCCTACCTGGTAGCTGCTGAGGTCGTGGTTGTGGCGCTCCTCGATGTCGCTGAGCTGCCGCTCCAGGGACTCCTTGGTGCCGCGCACCGATTCGAGCTCGATGCTCTTGGACTGCAGCTGACGCCGGTACTCGGCAATTTCTTCCTTGGCGGAGCGGATGGCCTCCTTATTCTGCTCGGCCGCCTCGGTGAGCTTGGCGTAGCGACATTTAAACCACTCTTCCGCCTGGTGCATGTTCTGGTCGGAGTGGCACTCAAGCTGGGAGCGGATCTCCTTCAGCGCCGACGAGATGTCTGTCTTCAGGTAGTCTTTGCGCTCTACGGTGATGTGCGACGCCTGGATCTGGGCCAGCAGGTCGGCCACCTCTTCCTCGTGATTGCTCCGCAGGAAGGCCACCTCATCCTGCAGCGACTGCACCTTCTTGTCCAGCTCCACCTTGACCAGCGATGCCTCCTCGATGTCTTTGCGCAGCGCGCGGATGGCCGCCTCGGTGTCGTCGCGCAGCCGCGCCTCCTCCTCGAAGCGCTCCTTGAGCCGGTGGATGTCTTCCTCCAGGTGGTCCGAGTCCAGCTGTACCTGCGCTTTCTCGTGGTTCACCATCTCGAGCGTGGCACGCAGCTCGCGGATCTCCTGGTCGTACGCGTCGCCCAGCTGAGCGTGCGAGGCCTGCTTCTGCCGCAGCGCCTGGATCTCCGCCTCGATCTCCTTGTTCTGCTGCTCCAAGTAGTGCACTTTCTCAATGTAGCCGGCGAAGCGGTCGTTCAGCCCCTGCAGCTGCTCCTTCTCGTTGGAGCGGGACAGCTTGTAGTCGCCGCCGGAGCCGCCGTTGAGCAGGGATGAGGACTGGCTGAAGTCGAGGCTGCTCTCGGCGGAGCTGAGCATAGCCGAACTGTAGGTGAGGCGCGGGGCGAGCGCGCTGCGCTTGTAGGAGGAGGACACGGTGCTCGGCGAGCCGCGGGACCACGACTGCAAGCG